TTTAGGACATGAGTTTTTCTAAAGTACATAAACTTTTGGGATTGATTGTATAACCAGTACATCCTTAATAGCATCAATGAATGTTTTGTTATTTTGAAGAATAATTGTTCCTGATTCATCCTATATAACAAATATCCCAATGTTATGAATTTTAATGCATAATTGTCTAATTATTTTATTGTTTATATAATACAATGAATCTAATGAATTCATGGATACGCAGCAAGAAAAGGCATTTTCACAATAGATAAATATAGAGTATAATGAAAAACAAATTACTCACCTCGCTGTTTGGAACGCTTGTGTTAGCATTTGACCGATCCACGTGATTTTCGTTCACTCTTTCTTCGAGTTTCTTTGAACTGGAATGATCTCTCGATCTGGCCGGAGGAATAGGTGGTTCCGACTGTTCCAGCGTGTCCAACGCGAACGTGACTCTACTGTCAGCCCTTGACGGTCGCACGGTCAGCTTTTGAGCCGATACCGACCGACTGGCTGGACCGAAACTCATATCGTCGTCCAGGTCTCGATTTCGAGCCTCTTCTCTCGTCAGGCTTCTGGTTCTCTGAGTGGGCACCGAGAAACTCACTTCCCGCTTTTCTCGTGATCTGATCTCCCTGTGACTCTGCGATTTGCCGCTCAGCGACGGTGCCATTATGCTGATCATTCAAAGGAATGTATAACAATTAATGTAAATTTCACAATATGAAATGATAAAAATAAAAATTTCTCTAATGAATCAAATTCCCTAAAAAATGTTTCAATAATTAACATTTTACATAAAAATTCGTAATTTATATATTATGTTTCCCCTTGGAATATTTTATAATATTTCATATCATTTTATTGATTTTTCCTAAAATACTTTTTAATTAAATTATTCGAAGAACGTACCCTCTCTTTATATCTGGAATGAAGATTACATCGCTCTCCTCGCTGGGCTCACTGACGCCATACGGATTCTCGGCCTTCACGCGGAATTTATACTCAGACCCTTCGATCAACTCCGACAGCGTCGCTTTAGTCTGTCTACTCGTAGTCGCTTTCAGCCATACGTCCCAACCGATCTGTAGCACAATTTCTAAAATGAATAAATTAACAACTAACAAGGGAATCTCCGTATTTTTAACTAACCCTGTAATACTCGACGATGTATGTGCCAATCTTGCAGCCACCGTCATCTTCGGGCTCCTTCCATGACAGTGTTACCGATCTACCCAGTGTCATCGTGACCGTCGCTTTTCCAGGTGCTGCAGGTCGATCTACAAATAAACAACATTATTTTATAAATATTAAATTAATGAAATTTCATTAATGTTTCTGTTTGCTGAATTTTTAATTAGTATCAAAATAATTTCATTATAATTTAATTATAATCATAATATAAATAAATTATAATGACCTGTGACAGTCACCAGGAATGACGAGGTATCCTCTCCAAGCTTGTTTATAGCTTTAACAGTGTACTCTCCTCTGTCGGCTCGTTTTGCATCGGGGATTTTCAAAATCGACTCGCCGTCCATCGTTTCAAAAATATGTCTTTTATCACTCGAGATTATTTCACCGTCGTGATACCAAATCACCGAAGGAGCTGGTCTCCCTGCCAGTGACACTTTCAATCGAATCGTTTCGTCCTGTTCGAATAACAGGCCGTCCTCGTATTGACGCGGAAGTCGAATTTTTGGAGGTGCTGCAATAAAAGATCATTAAGTTTTTTTATTTATGTTTTGAAGGCGGAAACGAAGGTGCATGGCGATTGAAATCCGAACGGAACCAATGAAGGCGACACGAGCTAATGTGAAATTTGTGTATCCTGCAAGATTTATAAAAGACAATTGTATGAACCTTCTAGTATTAATCTTGCTTTGCTGCTTATGTGGCCGGCTCTATTAGTAGCCGTGCATTTTATTTCACCCTCGTCGTTAAGGGCCGTCTGATGAATCAGGAGCACCGTTTTGCCACTGTCCGTGATGATCCTCGTTCTCCGGCTGCTGAAGATCTCGAAGCCGTCTTTGAACCACGAGATCTTCGGCAACGGCGATCCAGTGAATCGTGCCACGAACTCAGCCTACAGAAACAAAATTATAATTATGATAAAATATTCTTATGATTTTAATTTCTAATTTACGTTCTATTATATCATAATTTTAATTGCAATAAATTAAATGACCAACTACTTTATCTGTATTTAACATTATTGTAAACTATGATAAATTGTCGCATTGAAAGTTGTAACATATTATTTAACGAAGAAAAATTAATATTTTTTTGTCATTTCACCTGTTCGCCTTCGAGAGCTGTTGTGTCTTTGAGTTCAAGTTCGAACTGAGGGGCAGACGCGACAGATCTCTGAAGGGTCACCGTCAGAGGATCGGAGATCTCGCTCGGCCGCGAGAAGCCAACTGCGTTTTGTGCCCTGACCCTGAATTGATAGCGCCATCCTGGCTCGAGGCCGCTCAAAGTCAGCTCCGGGAAGGTGCACAGCCCTGGTGTACTTCGCACCCAGTGCTGTGAGCCGAGCCTGCGATGCTCGACGAGGTAGCCGACGATGGCCGAGCCACCATTACTAGGTGATCGCTCCCAACGGATGGCCACCACATCCGGTTGCGATTCATCCGCTCCTGGTATTAAAATCGGCTTCCCTGGCGGAGCCGGAAGTCCTGTAATGAAAATTTAGAAATAATCTTTATAAAAAATTAATGAGCAATTTTCAAGCTGAACGACGTTGCAAAGTTGTCATACTTCAATAGTAAATTCTACTGGTTATCAAAACATGAACTTTTATTCCTTTACATACAAATAACTTCTTATTCAATATGACAATATATGTATAATATTTCTTGCAGTCAGATTATAATATAATTTTTTGTAATATTTCTTGTATCAGAAAGTATGAACTTTAAACTTTCGATAGTTAGTTTTCTATTTTAATCTGCAGAGTCCAAGCATACTAATTTTAATAGTTTTCATTGACATGAATCTCATATGCTTCAGCGTTAAAGTACAACTTCTTAAACTTTATTATTTTAAAAATTTATTCGGTAATATAAAAAATAACATACTACAATTTAATTACGATCTACAGTGTCTTGTATTTTAATAGAATCACCTTAATAAGTTCCGCACGTGCCATGTCGAATGTACAAGTTCGGGTCCGCAGGTGGCGCACCAAAAATAAAATTTCAAATCGTTTGGCAAGCCGTGGGCCACTGACTCGCTGAGTAGGAAAACTATGCGAGACTCTGAATCGACATTGGATACCGGCTCAACGTGGCTCTCTATACAATGTGTCTATCATTCTTATTGTTAGATTAATTCTGTGCCTATCACTCATTACAGACGTTATGGCAATTGATCGTAGCCAAACGTGCCGAGACAAGAAATATAATCAGACTATAAATAATGAATTAGTGCGCATCTCATGCTTGGTATCTTTTAAAGAGATCAAGTTAAGAAATAATTATACGAAATGAATGTAAGAATATTTAATAGTAATTACGTCTTCGAGTGATCGAAATCTTTTTATGTTGAACACGTTCTATCAGCCGTTCGCCCTGCCCATTGCTCTCAGTCTATTAAAATAAACGCCCCCAACGCGCACGAGTTAATTTTGGACAACCGGCCGATCCGATAGTAAATAAATACACGAGATCTCCCCTGGTGAAACTCCATACAAACTCCCACATACAATGAGAGATATGGTTTCTCATTGACTGTCGTGGAAAATTTCATTGACAATAACTCAAGACGTGAACCGATCTCCCCTACCGGAGCCGAACGATTTGCTAAAGGAACAATCCCACTGACCCAATGAACTTGCTAATTACCCTAATTCCACGTCCATTAGCCATCGGTCGAACGTTGCGCGGGCTTGACAGATCTGTCGGCAGAAGCAGCCTAATTTTAGCCGTCATCCCACTGTCGAGCCAATCGAGAGACGGCGCAGGATCGCCGTTCTCGCAACACCGTTACCGGAAACTCTGTGTTACCGGACGCGGCCGCAGCCACGCCGAACACTCTCCTCCGTCGACCAACCCCCTTCACGTTCCCAAACGACAAGGGGCAACAAGCCATAAAGAGAGGACTTCGAACCAGTGCCGAGTGTCAAGCAAATTTTCACCAGTCGTCGTACAAAAATTCGAAACTATATTGCATATCGTGTTCCGTTCAAAATGGCGTTTTTTTTTTTTTTTTTGCTAAAAACGATTGATCAATTAACGGCATGGAGCGAACGTAAAGCGTGTTTACCTGATCCCTCCCAACGCGGTCTCCTAGCGGCGGAGATGGGTGGCAAACTCTTGTTGTAGTGGCTCTTCGTGGTGGCGTTGCCCATGGTCGCAGCCTCCTCTTCCTCGTCCACGTCGAGCCTGGCTCGACGACGGGTCCTGCGTTCCTGGCCAGGTTTACGGCGGTACCAGCGGACGTCCGGCGATCCTCATCGGTCGCGAGGGATCCTAATCGTTTAGGAAAGGCGGTGAAAGCCCCGAGGTTGTCTCCCGCACTGTCTCCGGCGACGGCTGAGCCAAACCGACAGAGAAAGAGGGAGAGAGAAAGAGCGTGCTCGGCTCGATATAGCGCGAGGCTCGCTGCCGCACTGCCGGACCTCTTCGTGGCCAACGATCGTGGCGACGCCTCTTCAAGCTTCCTCCGCAGCTCGTCCCTCATCTCTTTCCCTCTCGCTTTCTTCACGTAGGAAAACAGTCGGCCGCGTCTGTCGCCGATTTTTCGATCATCCGACTTGATTCTTCTCAGGCTGACCTGTTCGGTTACGTAACCGGTTCGCACCACGAACGCAGCCGGACGTTGCTGACACCTGGCAACGCGAAAGTTAACAAGCACGATTCCAATAAGAAGACTCCGAATACTTGGATGAAATCATCTTATCAATATAATTATACAAAAGAAAATCGTAAATTCTGTCTAGATTTATGCTACAAATTCATTTCTCATTTCTTTATATTTTAAAGAATGAAACATACGTTTTTACCAATTCTGACAAGTCACATTTATGTCCGAATGTAATGATCTATGTGTATGAAGAAAAGGATAAGTAATCAGGAAATATTGAAATTGCACATAATGCAAAACTGCACAAGGTCATTATATATGGAATATCGAAAGTTGCATGCTTATAAATAGACTGCTGATTTTTAAACAAGGTAAAACCTGTGGGGTGTAAATTTAAGAAATTATATTTAGTACCAATGTCCTTCAATCTTTTAAACATGGCATGCACTTTGCTATCGATACCATGCGCAGTTTTTCCGTATTTTTATACATTTTACACACCTAATTTCGCTATATGTATATATTCATATAAATTGCATAGTCTAGTTATTAAAATGCTTATCTATGGATACCTATAAATGCTTTATTTTATACAAAAAATGGATTAAGCTTCGATGCAATGAAAATGTCTTATAACTTTGTGTGGTGTTTTCATGTTGCGAAGTAGGATGAAAAATTAGTCAGATTCTTCGCGGGACGTTCGCGAACTTGAATTCCTGGTGACGTAAAGAGGTGAACGCGTTCGTGACGTCACTGTCCGATATTCTCGCTCTCCCCCGTCCTGATCCAGCATCTTTTTGTTACTCATTTTTACCCTATATACATTGCTTACTCCCACTGGAATGTATCATGCGCCTCGTATTTACAGAGGCACACCTTGCTTTTCACGCTGTTTGGTCAACGCCGGTCACCGACCTTGGCGCGCGCGCGTGCCGCCGATCAGCTAAAATACTTTTGCATTATTCATTAAATGCTAAACGAGCAAACAAATTGCTAGTTACACAAACTTTTCTCTTTTGTTTTTTGATACCTTTAAACAGTAATGAATAATAGATGAATCAAATTGCTGGAGGGAAAAGTGTTTAAAGTTCTAATAACGAGACCATCGAGATTTAATTAATTTTTATTAATTGGGAAATTATATATTTATGTCTGAAAAAATGTGAACTTTCTCATGTAGAGGTTCAACAAGCTGTAAAGAGAATTGTACAAGTTCAAGGTTTATTCGATGCACAATCCGCAGAGATATCAATGTCTTCAGTTAGGTATCAGTGTACGGGGAGAAAGAATTTGAGGTTTCGTGCTGGCCATGGGAACACGTTCATCCGTCCTTCGTGGTCATCTTACATGCCTTAAGTCTTAAGGTATCTTATATCGGTCAATGAGGATAGAAAAAAAAATTATACCCATTTTTTTTTATGTTAAAAATAATTCAAATTCTTCTACACATTTTTTACTCCTCGTCCTTCGTTTCACTTTACTTTAAGCACAGCAAATGTCCCAATTTTTATAAACCTCACAATTTCTGCTCATTGATTTATCATTTTTGAAATTTTTGACATTACAAAACATTTGTAAAATTATAAAAATAAAAGGGATTGACTAGAAATTGTAACGTGAACAGAAATCGTGGTCGTTGGATCATTGTGTGAACTTGAAATCAAAATATTTTACCAACTTACGTGAGTTTAACGGGATAAGAGGTCAGTCGCACCAATAAATCACCTTTCGTCATGACTATTGGAAGAAACGTCTCGTCACTTTGACGCCTGCGATTTCATCCATTCTTTTTGCAATCCTGCATACTCTATCGAGGTGTACTTTCTAGACAGCCCAATTCCTCGTCACTCAGTTCAAAACCAGTCTTGATTAAATTAAGAAATAACGTAACTGTGTCTTACACAATTTTAATAGCGTTGTAAAATAGGATTGATTAGATACAACTAATGTAACCAATTGAGATTCATTAGACGTGTCAATAAATAAAACGGCATTGATAGGATCGATAGGATGAGGAAAATAGGATTGATTAGACACAATCAATGTGACCAATTGAGATTCATTAGATATGTATCAGTAAATATAGTGGCATTGACAAACAGAATGAATCTTTTTTCTTGTTCTATAAATAACAATTATACTACATCCAAAAGCAAAATATTAAAAAACACGTGCGAAATAGCAAATTTATACATGTATGAATATAATTTGTTGGAAACGCAAGAAGCAAAATATTGTTGTATAATAATGTAATAGAATTAACGTGAAAATATAGTGAAGAAGTATGAGCACGTATACAAAATACTGTTTATCCAGAAACTAAAGTAGGCGAAACCAACAGCACTTCCAGCATCGAACTCGCCAACCAACAGTCCCATCCAATGCATGGTTTGGCTACTTGAAAGGCCTCGGTCGTACATAAAAACCAGCGAAGTATTAGACGTTTTTTCTCGTTCGGGTAAGATTTTCGCGGCACGTACTCACGGCGGAATACAAAAGAGGCCACGGCGTCGAAGAAAGAGGCTGCGAATGTGGGAAAAGGAGACGAAGGACCACGAGGAAGGGAAAGGAGAAGGGGTAGACGGTTAATCGGTGCCAGAGTACCGTTGTACCTGAATGGAGCAGCGAGATGGCTTTCGGTTTCCCTGCAGCCTCCGTCGCGGCTGCAGCTCCGTCCTCTCAACCATATCTCTTCTCGTACTCGCTTCTCGGAGTACACGTGACCAAGACTGGCTGCACGTGAAAGCGAGCGACAGTTTTTTCTGCTAGAGAATCGTACCGTGACGTTCGACGGTCCCCGCATTTCCGCCTGCGATTCCGCCGCGGGGCGAACCGTTTACGAGACCACGTGTACCTGCACCTGCGACCCGGGCGCAACAGCTGCTAACTCCTTTCCGCGTTCGCGATTCTGGGTAACACCGTGATAGTCGCCACAAGTTCCAGTTACTCGAAAATCAACGAATTATTCCACGGTGGTGCTATTTTAAGTTCTAATAACGAGACCATCGAGATTTAATTAATTTTTATTAATTGGGAAATTATATATTTATGTCTGAAAAAATGTGAACTTTCTCATGTAGAGGTTCAACAAGCTGTAAAGAGAATTGTACAAGTTCAAGGTTTATTCGATGCACAATCCGCAGAGATATCAATGTCTTCAGTTAGGTATCAGTGTACGGGGAGAAAGAATTTGAGGTTTCGTGCTGGCCATGGGAACACGTTCATCCGTCCTTCGTGGTCATCTTACATGCCTTAAGTCTTAAGGTATCTTATATCGGTCAATGAGGATAGAAAAAAAAATTATACCCATTTTTTTTTATGTTAAAAATAATTCAAATTCTTCTACACATTTTTTACTCCTCGTCCTTCGTTTCACTTTACTTTAAGCACAGCAAATGTCCCAATTTTTATAAACCTCACAATTTCTGCTCATTGATTTATCATTTTTGAAATTTTTGACATTACAAAACATTTGTAAAATTATAAAAATAAAAGGGATTGACTAGAAATTGTAACGTGAACAGAAATCGTGGTCGTTGGATCATTGTGTGAACTTGAAATCAAAATATTTTACCAACTTACGTGAGTTTAACGGGATAAGAGGTCAGTCGCACCAATAAATCACCTTTCGTCATGACTATTGGAAGAAACGTCTCGTCACTTTGACGCCTGCGATTTCATCCATTCTTTTTGCAATCCTGCATACTCTATCGAGGTGTACTTTCTAGACAGCCCAATTCCTCGTCACTCAGTTCAAAACCAGTCTTGATTAAATTAAGAAATAACGTAACTGTGTCTTACACAATTTTAATAGCGTTGTAAAATAGGATTGATTAGATACAACTAATGTAACCAATTGAGATTCATTAGACGTGTCAATAAATAAAACGGCATTGATAGGATCGATAGGATGAGGAAAATAGGATTGATTAGACACAATCAATGTGACCAATTGAGATTCATTAGATATGTATCAGTAAATATAGTGGCATTGACAAACAGAATGAATCTTTTTTCTTGTTCTATAAATAACAATTATACTACATCCAAAAGCAAAATATTAAAAAACACGTGCGAAATAGCAAATTTATACATGTATGAATATAATTTGTTGGAAACGCAAGAAGCAAAATATTGTTGTATAATAATGTAATAGAATTAACGTGAAAATATAGTGAAGAAGTATGAGCACGTATACAAAATACTGTTTATCCAGAAACTAAAGTAGGCGAAACCAACAGCACTTCCAGCATCGAACTCGCCAACCAACAGTCCCATCCAATGCATGGTTTGGCTACTTGAAAGGCCTCGGTCGTACATAAAAACCAGCGAAGTATTAGACGTTTTTTCTCGTTCGGGTAAGATTTTCGCGGCACGTACTCACGGCGGAATACAAAAGAGGCCACGGCGTCGAAGAAAGAGGCTGCGAATGTGGGAAAAGGAGACGAAGGACCACGAGGAAGGGAAAGGAGAAGGGGTAGACGGTTAATCGGTGCCAGAGTACCGTTGTACCTGAATGGAGCAGCGAGATGGCTTTCGGTTTCCCTGCAGCCTCCGTCGCGGCTGCAGCTCCGTCCTCTCAACCATATCTCTTCTCGTACTCGCTTCTCGGAGTACACGTGACCAAGACTGGCTGCACGTGAAAGCGAGCGACAGTTTTTTCTGCTAGAGAATCGTACCGTGACGTTCGACGGTCCCCGCATTTCCGCCTGCGATTCCGCCGCGGGGCGAACCGTTTACGAGACCACGTGTACCTGCACCTGCGACCCGGGCGCAACAGCTGCTAACTCCTTTCCGCGTTCGCGATTCTGGGTAACACCGTGATAGTCGCCACAAGTTCCAGTTACTCGAAAATCAACGAATTATTCCACGGTGGTGCTATTTTTGTGAACAAACATTCCCATCACAGTGCTCGTGCTCGGAACCAGTTTTCGAGATTTTCGGAATATTTAAATCTGACACAAGTGTTCCGTCTTTTTTAAAATGTTTCGCAAAAGTGTAAAAGTGTATTGGTGAACAAGTACTTGTATTTGCTGTTGAAACATGACTGTTTAGTTGAGCTTATAATCGTGATTTTACGAGGTACACGTCCGGTTACAAAACTGCTCTAAGATAAACGGTCATTGTTCTGGTCTGATAAGCGCCAGTGCAATAAGTTGAGTTATGCAAAAAAACTTTAATTGAAAATTGAAGTTCATTAATCAAAGTAAAATCCCAGGTTCATAGTTGTGCAAGAATGGAAATTGATTTAGAAGTGATAAATGAATAACCGAAATGTGAATCATTACTTGATAATTGAAAATAGAATTGAGAGGTGCAGCAGCGAGTGCATCAGGGCTCAACTTTCACTGTACTCAGTGTTCCTTTTGAGATGCAGATTACTCGAGACGCTCCACTCGAAACGCACTAATAATTCCACGAGGCAGTAGAACTTCTGCATCGAGACAAAACCGCATTCTAATTTCCGTTTGAGTGTTCACGGTATGCGGCGAGGCTGTTTTTACCCAGTCAACGAACCTGATCGCACGTAACACAATTCCGTGGATCATTTCGCGTGACAACGATCGTTTAGCCGGTCGATCCGCTTGGCGTTACGCCGCGTCGCGCCGGTCGTGCGCGACAGCCCGCTCCACTTTCCATAAATTATTGCTATTCTTGCCGGAAACTCTCTCTCTATATGCGCGATATTCGAACGGTACTGCGATGAAGTAGAGTTCAATCATGCCCACGAAGAACCTGGAGGCGGTGGATATTTTGGAAGCCCTCGAATCGAAGCTCGCGTATGTACCAGGGGGACGCGACCGCGAGGGAAGACCCTTGATTGTCGTCGATGTTCCTTCGGAACTTCAACCGACTACCAAACCCAGATTGGAAGTTCTCATCGCTTATTTTTTATCCATTTTTAGGTAATTTATTATTAAAATTCAAATCATTGGGTTCATTATTAAAAGAGTTATTCCGTTTTGTCAGACTACTTTCATAAGCCACTGAACATATGTATGTTCAAAAATAGACTTTAGACAAGCTTAACCCTTTGACATACAATGACGTGAGTCATTTTTCTGCCATAATTATTACATAATTACAAATATTATTTTGTACTTAGTTATTTATTTAGATTTATATAGCATTAGTTATTTTACATAATTACA